AGGGGGTTGCCAGAAGGGGGATGTGCCCCCTTCTGTTTGGGGGGGGGTTTGAAGGGGGGCGGAGTCCCCCTCATCGCCAAGAAAATTTTGGACTTGTGAGAGGCTGTAAATGACCCCAGATTGATCATAGGGTAACGTGTAACCAACGCTGAAAAGCATTTGACTCTATCTCAATCCATTGAAAAGTTGCAGCACTTTGAAATCAATTTTGATGGAAAAAATCAACGCAAAATAGTGATTTTTGGCAATTTTGAGATGTCCCCTCATTGCCATGGTAACAGAAAATTTAAGCCTGAGCATGTTGTTGCAAGGGCAATGGTCCAGTCAACATTTGTGCCAAGTTTGATTAGTGTTGAAGCAGTTTTTATAGTATTATAGCAATTTGAACTTGTAACGGGAGACTTTTCAATGAAAACAGCCATTTTTCACAAAATGCTCATGAAGTAATGGGTTAAGCAAAATTCAACATTTAAACATGAAATGATAAAATTTTGCATTAAGAAACATATGTAGATATGTTCATATGGCGGTTATCAATGCGACACTTCCGTGCCATTCCATGAAAAGCCATGTATGGTCCCCAATTATTAGAAAGCGTGTGCCTCAGGTATGTTATATAAAATATGAAATGGCTAAATCAGATATGTTGTATAAATAATGAAAAGGCTAAATCGGGTACGTTGTATAATATATGAAAAGGCTAAATCAGGTATGCTATATAAAATATAATAAAAAGAATAAATCAGGTATGTTATATTATAGAATATGAAAAAGCTTAATCAGGGATGTTACATATGATGTTATATATTATATGAAAAAGGCTAAATGAGGTAATATATATATTATATGAAAAGGCTTAATCTGGTATGTTATATAATAAATGAAAAGACTAAATTAGGTATTCTATGCAGGATATGTAAAGGCTAAATCAGGTATGTTATATACTGCAGTCTGCGAAATAAGGCACACCTCGATGCCATAGGCGAAAAAATCTCATTTGGACCTTCAAAAATCCAAAGCAAAAATGTTAACCCGAGGTTCGTTTTAATTTGGAATATGTCTTCATACAAATGAGTTTCAGTTTCAATTCTTTTGAAATTATTGAGACTTGGAGATAAACTTTGTGGTTGTGTTACTTAGGGTTATGCATTCATAGAGTGCAATGCTTCTTTTGTTGATATTTGTTTTCATATTTTAAACAAAGTAGAAAGCAGTAGATTGACAAGTAAAGTTAAGTATATAGAAAAAAGATAATTTATTTAAAAACTGACTGACTGATATACCGAGCTTGTGTGCCTACATTAAACTGTTGTCTTTATTTTGCACAATAAGTGTTTTTGGGCCTGTGATAATCTGTCAATGCAGGTCCATACTAATTTCTGTATTATTAACTCATTGATTTGTCCTTAACAAACAATTGGATTTCATATTATCATTTAAATTATAGAATGGCGGAAAAAGCTGATTGAACAGTATCACAAAACCCTGCTGCAAGTTCCTACAACACCTTTACAACCAAAAAGTGAAAAATGTAGCTTTAATGAGATTTATATAAGGCCAAAAATAACGAGGGAAATAAAACGAGAAAAGGGTGAGACAATGGATGTCCAGTGGAGGTTGTAACAATGTCAGAAATCTTGTCACACTAAACGTCGAGAACAAGTGTGAAATAATTTTAATACAAAGAGAAAAATGAAATAAACGTTATGTTATATAAGCACAATGGAGCTGAAATTGATTGAAATATAAACATACATAGTAAAAGTAAAATCAATGACCACCCTTGGAGGAACAGGTGACGTCAGAACATTGTGTGACCACAACAGACGCTTTTATTAATAGACAAACAATTGGTAGACAGGTTCCCTATATGAGAAAAACTACCGATATGGAAATTGAGTTCTTAAAGAAGATTTTAAGTTTTACTATATGTCATGTAATATAATGAGACAATGACCCCCCCCGCCCCCTCCGGAGAGAGAAGAAGCCACGGAGGTGATAAATGCGCAAGTGTAACTAATGCGCGCTCAGGAAGGACTTTTATTGAACAAGAGAGATCTCCGATGAATAGTATGCAGCATATTATGCATGAAGACACAAGTGTATGATCAAAAGAGCCCACAAGAAAGATGCTTTGAGACTCTAGACGCTCTATATTATGGGAATGATAACATTAAATGAAAGAAGATTTTTAATATTGTGAACCATTATCTAACCAAAGTTATACATGGCCCGGCGAATATCCCAGCGAGAAGCTAACCAGCGTTATTTCCGTGCGAAGTGGAAGTTGACACTGATAAGAGACCGAACAGACACTACCTAGTAGAAATCAAGAATGTTAAATTGAAGGAAAGACGGGTAAAACATATTGCCGCAGGCAAGTCGAAAAACCTTAGATGTTCTAGAACATGCAGAAATAACAAGTAGGAAAAGCGACTGCATTATCAACCGTAAATTTAACAGGACAGAAAACAAGGCTAGATAAATTTGCAGTGAGTAAATAAGAAAAAGTTGAGCAACTTTGGGTCTATTAAATAACACCCTCGAAATATTCCTAGCGACTGATGTAACAAACAAAGCAATCTTAAATTTAGGTGCTGGTGAAAATTAGTTAACAATAAAAAACGAGATTGAAATTACAAAAGGTAATTGGTACTACATCAAAGAACGCCACGATAACAAATTGTCAATATGTTATTTGAATAATAATACAAATGTAATTAAATCCATTGTTTACTTTCGCACGTATTCTATTTTTAGAACAATGGCAAAGCGACATTTAGCACCGATTCACAGCGTGTAACTAATTATTACGTCTTTTAAGCCTAATTATGATTGTTGAAAATTGTAAATTGTAGCAGCGGGGATTCTGTCATAAAATTGACCGAAAAAAATAAATTTTTTGAAGCTGTGGTCCTTTCCATATGCATTATTGTTTTAATAGCAGACACAATATGCACAATATCTTCAAGATCATAACAAATGTAAATAAAAATCACAATCAAAATTGCACTTAACGATTAATAAATGTCAATAATTGACACAATCAATATCCAACACTTTTTTTTTACTTGAGCAATAATTAAACATGTGTAATCATTCCTTGACAAAATGAAATGACAGTTTTTTTCTGATATATAAAAAAGAGGTGGAAGTCAATCGAGTGTCGGCATTTCTTTGATGATTCGGCAACAACTACAGGTGTCAATGTAAACATCAAAGATTCACAGATTCTTCAGAAGAGCCGACCAGTCATTGTCAGAGGTCATTTCGTGTGTAAATTTTGTATTTATTTTTTAACAATGGAAACATTATATTCCTTTTATTTATGGATGCTTCTTTTTGCGCGAGTGTTTTTGTGTCTTTTAGCGCTTATGGAATTTCAAACAATCGGCGATAATTTTCCGGTAACTAACAATATAAATATTTTAAACATTTTTAAAACAGGGGTGCAAAATATCCGCCATTCAGAAATTATAGGAGACAAATCTTGCGTGTGTTATTTTTTACAGACGTGTAATAAATTGAATAATGATCACCCTAGAGAACGAAATGTCCCGGTGATCCACTATAACTCTTCCAGGTCGTACGGAATATTTACGCAGCGATTAGTTTATTACATCGGTAATTTGACCATGCTTGAATTTATGTCTTATGTAACGTTTTCAATATGGGATACATTTAGAAATGAACAAGTTAATGTCGTATCAATTATGTATATTTTTATGTAACTAAATATCTTTTTACACATATAAATTATATTTATATCTCTACTTTAAACTCAATATGTATCCCCCCTAAAAAATAGTTTTACACGTGTACATGTACACTATTTACCTGCCGATGGTAGCCGCATACTTGTACTGCGTCGCATTTATACATTGAATTTGAGGTCATGATTCCGCCATTAACGGAAAGTTTTTAACGGTGTTATTTGATTTCGCCGTGGTTATTTATATATTGCTTTGTTGCATCAAAGATAAATAGAGAAAGGGCATTTTAGCAAATTACAAGATTTTCTTGATACAACTTCATGTAGATCTACTAATTAATTTTCGTACTTGTACATGTATATCTGGTTTCAAGTTCACAGAGTACAATTATAAATAGATCTACATTTATTATACAAATGAACATGTATTATTCCCCGCGAATCACGGCAAATGTTCACGGCAAAATCGCCGCGAGTTGAATTCGCGGCAATTGTCTCAAGTTGCCGGGAATTCGCTCGCGTTTTAAAGCATGAGAGTTCGCCGCAAATATGCGAATTGTGCGGGTTTCGCGTGTCCAGTACTGTATATGCATATAGGGAAAATCAATGACCCCCACCCAAGGGCGGGGCCAATTTTGACCCCAGGGCTTTAATTTGAACAAACTTGGTAGACAACTATTAGAACATGTTCGATGCTCAATATCTTAGCCATAGCTCTTTGAGTTCTTTAAAAGAAGATTTTTTAAGTTTTTACTATATGCATATAGGGAAAATCAATGACCCCCCGGGGCGGGGCCAATTTTGACCCCAGGGCTTTTATTTGAACAAACTTGGTAGACGCTCACTAGAAGATGTTTCATGCCAAATATCTAAGCTCTAGCTCTTATGGTTTTTTAAAAGAAGATATTTAAAGTTTTTTCTTTCGTTTGCCATGGCAACCAGAGTTCTGCATGGAATTAAATTCTTTGAACAATTTTTAAAGGTGACCACCAAACGAACATTCCTGTGAAGTTTGGATAAAATTGGCTTAGTGGTTTATGAGGAGATGTCATTTAAAGTAAAAGTTTACGGACGGACTGACAGACGACGGACGAAAAGCGATCACAAAAGCTCACCCTGTCACTTTGTGACAGATGAGCTAAAAACTAAGATATACATTTATATTTACATTTTGTAGGTATTTTTACTTGATTTCATTGATAAAAGTTAATTTAAGGCAGTTGTTATTTAAATTTGATTATAATGAAACAAATTAAAGCATTTTATTCTATTATCATAAATTTACCTGAATTTAGAGCTGAGCTTATTTTAAATTATTACAACTTAAAGATTTCAAATATAATTCTTTATGTACACTTACATCTTGAAGTTTCCTGACAGCTTGTTGTGCATCTTGTCGATGTACAAGTTCTTTACCATCTTGTAGAACAGCTATCATGTCATCGATATAACAATTAGCCTTGCTCTCCTCTAACTCCATAGAGCTAGAGTGAAAAATTTCATTTCGATACTGCCGTACCTAATATACAGAAAACAAATAGTACAACATTCACATAAATACAGTGTTCAGCAATGAGACTAAACACAATTCCTAAGTTGAGAATTAAAACTGTAAATAAGGAGTTACTTTAAAGAACTTACCATAATAATCATTATTATGATTGTGTTTAAACTGCAGATTATATAAAAGCAAATGGAATAGAAATGGTTTTTGATAAATTTTATAATTATTTTACTGAAGTTATGGTATTTACGTGTTGCATTTACTTATAAAGCACAAATAACCTACTTCTGTACATTTTACAGTGAGGCTTAAAATAGAAATAGTTTTTGTTTCCTTCCCACAAAAATAAGAGCTAGCGAAAAGATTGTATTTCTGAAATATATTTAAGAATACAAATTTATGCGTAACAATTTTGAATCATTATTCATTTGTTGCAAATTGGTTCTCTGGCAAAATTAAACTGCATTAACCTCATAGTTATACATGTATATAATTATGCCCCCATTTTGAAAAAAAGGGGGTATATTGCTTTGCACTTGTCGGTCCGTCGGTCCGTCGGTCCGTCGGTCCGTAGACCAAATGGTTTCCGAGTGATAACTAAAGAACCCTTAGGCCTAGGAACTTCAAACTTGGTATGGTGATTGGTCATGACCAGTAGATGACCCCTATTGATTTTGGGGTCAAGGGGTCAAGGTCAAGGTCACATTGACCTTGAAAGCAAAAACGGTTTCCGATCAATAACTAAAGAACCTAAAGGCCTAGGAACTTCAAAACTTGGTATGGTGATTGGTCATGACCAGTAGATGACCCCTATTGATTTGGGGTCAAGGGGTCAAAGGTCAAGGTCACATTGACCTTGAAAGCAAAAACGGTTTCCGAATCAATAACTAAAGAACCTTAAGGCCTAGGAACTTCAAAACTTGGTATGGTGATTGGTCATGATCAGTAGATGACCCTTATTGATTTTGGGGTCAAGGGGTCAAAGGTCAAGGTCACATTGACCTTGTAGGTAAAAACGGTTTCCGATCAATACCTAAAGAACCTTAAGGCCTAGGAACTTCAAACTTGGTATGGTGATTTGTCATGACCAGCAGATTACTCCTATTGAATTTTGGGGGATCAAGGGGTCAAAGATCAAGGTCACAATGACTTTGTAAGTAAAAACAGTTTCTGATCAATAACTAAAGAACGCTTCGGCCTAGAAACTTCAAACTTGGCATGGTGATTGGTCATGACCAGCAGATGACCCCTATTGATTTTGGGGTCAAAGGTCAAGGTCACATTGACCTTTTAAGGTAAAAACGGTTTTCTGATCAATAACTCAAGAACGCTTAGGCCTAGGAACTTCAAACTTTGGTATGGTTGATTTGTCATGACCAGCAGATTACTCCTATTGATTTTGGGATCAAGGGGTCAAAGGGTCAAGGTCACAATGACCTTGTAAGTAAAAACGGTTTCTGGTCAATAACTAAAGAACGCTTTGGCCTAGAAACTTCAAACTTGGCATGGTGATTGGTCATGACCAGCAGATGAACCCCTTTTATTTTGGGGTCAAGGTCAAGGTCACATTGACCTTGTATGTTAAAAACGGTTTCCGATCAATAATAAGAAGAACCCTTAGGCCTAAGAACTTCAAACTTGGCATGCTGATTGGTCATGACCAGCAGATGACCCCTATTGTTTTTGGGGTCAAAGGTCAAGGTCACAATTGACCTTGTAGGTTAAAACGGTTTCTGATCAATTTTACTAAAAATGCCTAGGCCTAGGAACTTCAAACTTTGTATGATGATTGGTCGTGACCAGCAGATGACCCTATTGAGTTTTGGTCAAGGGGTCAAAAAGGTCAAGGTCATGACCAGTAGATACTTTATAACCCTTATTAATTGTTTGATCACTGGGTCAGACGTCATGCATAATAACCTTATCACATGACTAATTGGCTGCTGATAGGGGGCATACATGTTTTACAAACATATCTTGTTTCATCTTAGTGTGGTAATGGGTAAACTCTTTTAAAAATTCAACTAGAACTATCACTAAATGTGATTAATACCCCCACAAGACTGCTTCGGAAATGAGGATGTTACTAGTAACAGAATACCTTGTAAAACAATTGAAATACATTCATGGTTGTGGACAATTAAAGAGAGTTGTGGTTCTTGTATATTGCATTTCCTTTCAATGTGGTTGGCCATTGATGAAGTTTTATTGAATTACTCTGCAATAAGTCCAGAAAGACAAGGAAAAGGAAAAAAGGGCAATAACTTTATAAATACTGAAGATGGAGTTATGGTTATTGAACACTGCACTTCCTCTCATTGCACTTGACCATTGTATGAAGTTGTATTGAATTCCAACAACAAGTTTTCAAGTTATGCACAGGACAAAAAAGTAACAAAGGGCAATAACTGTAATCAGTCCAAATAGAGTTATGGTTCTTGTGTACTGCACTTCATCGCACTGCCCTTGACCATTGTATGAAGTTTCATTGAATTCCAACCATTAATCTTCAAGTTATGCACTGGACAATAAAAAGTAACAAAGGGCAAAAACTTTTAGATAAGTTCAGAAAGAGTTATGATTTCTGTACACTGTGCTTCCTCTCAATATACTTGACCATTGTCTGAAATAGTAGTTTTCAGGTTATGCTCTGGACAAGAAAAAAGCAATGGAAAAGCAACAAAGGGCAATAACTCTATAATTTCTCTGGACAGAGTTATAGTTCTTGTGCATTGCACTTCCTCTTATTGTGCTTGATCATTGTATCAAGTGTTTTTGAATTCCAACCAGTACGTTTTAAGTTATGCTCTGGACAAGGAAAAGTATCAAAGGGCAATAACTCGGTAATTTGTCAACATGGTATTATGGTTCTTGTGCACTGCACTTCCTTTTAATGTGCTTGACAACTGTATGAAGTTGTACTGAATTCCAACCAGTAGTTTTCAAGTAATGGTCCGGACAAGGAAAAATCCCAAAGGGCAATAACTCTGTAATTAGTCAAGATGAAGTTACGGTTCTTGTGCACTGCACTTCCTCTAACTGTGCTTGACCATTGTATGAAATTATATTGAATTCAAATCATTTGTCTTCAAGTCATGCTCCGGACAAAAAAAGCAATGGAAAAGTAACAAAGGGCAATAACTCTGTAATTAGTCAAGATGAAGTTATGGTTCTTGTGCACTGCACTTTACCTTATTTTGCTTGACAATTGTATGAAGTTGTTTTGAATTCCAACCAGTAGTTTTCAAGTTATGCTCTGGCAGGAAAAGTAACAAAGGGCAGTAACTCTGTAATTAGTCAATATGGAGTTATGGTTCTTGTGCACTGCACTTCCTCTCAATGTGCTTGACCATTGTATGATGTTATTTTGAATTCCAACCATTAGTCTCCAAGTTATGGTCCGGACAAAAGAAAGCAATAGAAAAGTAACGAAGGGCAATAACTCTGTAATTACTTTAGATACAGTTATGGTTCTTGTGCACTGCACTTTACCTTATTTTGCTTGACAATTGTATGGAGTTGTTTTGAATTCCAACCAGTAGTTTTTAAGTTATGCTCTGGACAAGGAAAAGTAACAAGGGACAGTAACTCTATAATTAGTCAAGATGGAGTTATGGTTCTTGTGCACTGCACTTCCTCTCAATGTGCTTGACCATTGTATTAAGTTATATTGACTTCCAACCATTAGTTTTCAAGTTATGCTCTGGACAAGGAAAATGCAACGGACCGCTGGACCGACCAACAAACCGACCACCGGGTGACTCCTATATATATACCCACCAAACTTCGTTTTTGGGGGTATAATAAAGAGTTAACCAATAACTGCTCTAAGGTAAAAATATTATCTTTTGCTTTTATACTTAATTAACAGACTTAATATTACAGTAAAGCTTAATATTCTACAAAATTTAAAATAAACATAATTATAGTATACAAATCAAGTTACCTTTAAAAAAAGATTGTTTGGTCCTGTAACATTGCATCCAATATGGCTATGAAAGTACTTGTTATTTATGATAACATGAAGCAACCCAGTACAATCAGTGTCGACTGCTGATGTCTTGTCCTTGTACCCAGGAGCATTTATAAAACATTTAATGACACTCCAGGGGTCTGTCGACCACTGTTTGACATCACTGTTTTTCCAAAAAGGTGCCGGTGGTATTGATGCATGATACTGTATAATGCTGTCATAGATGGCACCACATACATAGTTTGGACAGGGTCTCTTATTATTAGGAAAACAACAGTTACATTTATCTTGATTGAGGGGACATTTCCCTTTTGAGACTCGGACATGATCTGGCTGTAGATTTGTTATCTGACAGGCGCCACATGTTTTGTTTGGTTGAGGAGTCTTAGTTTGTTGTATTTGGTTTATAATATCGCTGTGCTGCTGTCTTCCTATGGCATCACAAAATGGCGCAAGTCCCTCTTTAAGATAACCCAAGCCTAGGCCAGCCTTAACCCACTGCCGGTATTTGTTGTTCTTTATATTTATCTCATGTGCCATCTTGATTTCTAGAAAGAAAAAAAAATATTTTTAGATACAATTTGTAAGAATCAAAGGAAAACCAACATTAACTATGACTGATCACAAACACTTGTACATGTATGCCCTGAAAGCTGGGTCCAGTTAAGGGACCATGAACTTTGACTTAAAATGAAAGCATTGTTACAATCTCTAGAGAGCCATATTGGCCCTGAGATTTGTTGTTAGAAATGTTCATATACAGAAGTAGCTATTATTTGGGCCACATTGAGCGGCCAAAATCAATTCAACAATTTCTAGTCACATGGTGGAATCATGTGGTAGAGTCACATGGTAGTCGCGTGGTGAAGTCACATGGTGGAGTCACGTGGTTGAGACACGTGGTGGAGTCACGTGATGGAGTCACGATGTGGAGTCATGTGCTGGTGGTGTCACGTGCTGGTGTCTTGTCCTTAAGTATGTTCTGTTATAATATGAAGTTGATCCCTTCAATAATAGCAAAGTTACAGCCAGTTACAGCAAAAACAATGAAAAGGTAAAGGTCATTAATGAGTGAAGGTCAAGGTCTGTCTGGTTATTTTTAAGTGTTATCCTTGAAGATTATTATGTTCAAGTTTGAAGACAATCCATTCAAAAATAACAAAGTTACAGCCGAATAATAGACAAAAAATGAAAATTTCAAGAATTTGACCTTCATAGTCAAGGTCATTTATGAGTGAATGTCAAGGTGTGTCTAGTTATTTATAAGGGTTATCCTTGAAGATTATTATGTTCAAGTTTGAAGACAATCCATTCAAAGTTACAGCCAATAATAGCCAAAAAAAAATTAAAATTTCAATAATTTGACCTTCAAAGTCAAGGTCATTTATGAGTGAAGGCCAAGGTCTGTCGGGTTATTTTTAAGGGATATCCTTGAAGATTATTATGTTCAAGTTTGAAGACAATCCATTCAAACATAACAAAGTTACAGCCAATAACAACATGAACAAGCAAAATTTGGACTTTTAACCTTGAAGGTCAAGGTCATTTATGGATGAAGGTCAAGGTTAGTGTGGTCTACTGAAAGGTCTTGTCCCAAAGGTTGTTGTGGCCAAGTATGAAGACAATACACCAAGAAATAAAAAAGGTATGATCCAGGTACAAGTTTGCGGACAACAGCGGCAACGCCGCTGCGACTTAGTAGCAATACCTTTCCTTTTTTTTTCAAAAAAAAGTCGAGCTAAAAATTGCAGAAAGTATTCATCAAAATGTCAACAAGTAAGAGATAAAATGCAAGATATCAAATACAATTAGTTTGCTTACATCTATAACTGTTTTTTACTGAAGATAAGTTTGCATTTTTGATCAATAATTGCTTAGAGATGTTCTGATAAAAATATTAGGGCAACCAGTTTTTATTTCGGACAACCAAATTTTCATGAATTGGTGGCCCAAATGACAACAATTATTCAACCCTCATTTCCCAAACTGCCCTTTGATTTTAAATTTGACCCTTAATTATTACAAATGACCCCCATATTTTAATACAAAGGGCCACAATGACCCTAAAATATTTTAGCCTGGTTGCTTAGATTTTGGTCAGAAAATGATCTGATAATGGTCAGATACTGGTTAAATTTTTAAAGAACCTGGTTAGATTCAGGTCTGAAATAAAGAAAGAAATGTAATTGGTTTATAATTTTGAAGTGGCTAGCCGAACGGGCCAAAAGTTTTAGTCATATGTGTGTCACTTTCAACTAGCTAGGACACACTGTATTGGCTAGCCGTACGGCTCTTTTCAAAATTATAATGAAAGTCAAATATGCATATGTTCTTTGTGTCTTTAAACCGGGAATTTAACCAAGTACCCGCATATGTCCTTGAGTGTTTCCTTTAATAAAGATGTTCCGCCATTTTGTAAAAAAAGAATGAACAGAAGGTAGGAAATGCAAGCGTTGTTAAATCTTGATAAAAGTGTCAAAGTTTCATGACGGTTACACTAAGTACATGCTAAGTTATATTTATGATTAAATAATTCATTTGTTTGAAAGATGAGTTATTCAATCATTTTTGTTAATTAAGCACATTGAATAAATAATGATAATGGCCAAAGAAGCTTGTTTCATAACAGCATTATCGGAGTGGAATAAATAAATAAAACAATGGCCCTGAGGTCGCTCACCTGTATATAGGCCCCCAGAGCAAGGCCAGTTTAAACCCCAGGGCTTTTACTTGAACAAACTTGGAAGACACCCATATGATGTTAAGTTTTTACTACACACATGTAATGAAAATAATGACCCCCCCCCCCCCTCTAGCAGGGCCAATTTTAACTCAAGGGCTTTAATTTGAACAGACTTGGTCAACACCAACAAAAAGATGTTTCCTGCTTAAAATCTAACCTCTAGCTCATTGGGTTTTTTAAAAGAAGATTTTTTAAGTTTTTACTATACACATATAGTTAAAAACAATGACACCTCTGGGGTGGGGCCAGTTTTAACCCCAGGGCTTTTATTTGAACAAACTTTGTAGACACTCAGTAGAAGATGTTTCATGCTTAATATCTAAACTCTAGCTATTAATTTTGGGTTTTTGCTATATACATATTAGGAAAATCAATGACCCCCGGGGCGGGGTCAATTTTGACCCCAGGGCTTTAATTTGAACAAACTTGGTAGACACTCATTAGAACATGTTTCATGCTTAATATCTTAGCTCTAGCTCTATGGGTTCTTTAAAAGAAGATTTTTTAAGTTTTTACTATATGCATATAGGGAATATCAATAACCCCCTGGGGCGGGGCCAATTGTGACCCCAAGGCTTTTATTTGAACAAACTTGGTAGACACTTATTAGAAGAAGTTTCATGCTAAATATCTTAGCTTTAGCTCTATGGGTTCTTTAAAAGAAGATTTTTTAAGTTTGTTCTTTATGCATATAGGGAAAATCAATGACCCCCTTGGGCGGGTCCAATTTTGACCCCAGGGCTTTTATTTGAAAAAACTTGGTAGACACTCACTAGAAGATGTTTCATGCCAAATATCTAAGCTCTAGCTCTTTGGGTTTTTTAAAAGCAGATATTTATTTTTTTTCTTTCGGTTGCCATGGGTTCTGCATGGAATTAAATTCTTTGAACAATTTTTTAAAGGTGACCACCAAAAGAACATTCCTGTGAAGTTTGGATGAAATTGGCTTAGTGGTTTATGAGGAGATGTCATTTAAAGTAAAAGTTTATGGACGGACGACGGACGAACGACGGTTCCTACGAATGGGTGCTTCTTTTGTTTAAAGGTACCCAACAAGAGTACATAAGTACCCAACAATACTGACGGAATGAATGAACTAGTGTCCTCTAGTGTCCTCTCGTGTGTTGGAGGTACCCAACAAGTATCCTCTTGTTTGCCCGGACGGACGGACGCCGGACGAAAAGCGATCACAAAAGCTCACCCTGTCACTTTGTGACAGGTGAGCTAAAAATAAACAAAGGACAATAACTCCAGAATTAGGCAAGGCAGAGTTATGATTCTTGTGCACTGGCACTGGTTGAATTTTTGGGAAAATTACCCGACTGAACGGCAGTTTATTCGAAACGAATGAGTATTGCGCATGAATGAATATTGTTTTGTATTGCGCATACAAATATAGTTTTTAATATAATACTGTATTATATTAAAAACTATATTTGTATGCGCAATACAAAACAATATTGTATTACAAATAAATTATTTTTTGCAATAACTGTTCAATCAAAACATCATACGTAACTATAACAAACAGTTTTTTCAGAATTGTCAAATTCTCAATTCATACGAACTGAAGCAGATTTAACAGTTAACTGACAAACTTTCTAATAAATTTGTAAAAATCCTCGTCAAATGTACGTTAGTTCATTTAGATAGCCAAACAGTATTAATCCATTGCAAAATGACAGTATCAAAACATCACGTGTGTAATAATCTATGCTAAACTTTTGAGTCATTGGGCCATCCTTAAAAAAATGTTCGTTTGCAGTAACGCGACGACTCACAAAATTTGCCCCTACTCAAATTTTTTTTCATGGTCTGGATGAAAAATTACTTTTTTGAATCAGAAAATTATGCCATGTGTTTTGTTTTCTTTCTTTTAAAGGTTAATATAAGAAATAAAATGTGGTTCTTATTAAATTAGAATTCAGTTATCAATTAATAAATTGTTACCAGATCGTCAAAGCATATATTGTCAAGCATTTTGAATTCCATGTTTATTTGGGAGTACAGTTCAATAAAAAAAAAAAAAAATCGACCTACCTACCCACCTTGAAAATTCTGGGTCGGGTTACTGCAAACAAACATTTTTTTAAGGATGGCCTTGCCTAGATACCCTAGCTCCTGATCTTCAATATTGATTATTATAAATGGCTAAATAAAACTTTTGCACCAAAAACAACGTGCAACAGTTTTTATATTTACAACCACAAAACCATTCGGCGAGTTAACAACGGATTTCCCGCAGTAAATACTTAATGCTAGTGAGATTTATCGAAAAGTTTTAGCGGTGTAAAACAAAAAACGTTGATATGTGTAGGAATTCATAAGCGTTATGTATTTAAAACATACATTTTTGTGATCAATTTTCTCTTAAATTAATTCTATTTGGAATAAGCTTTGCAGGTATGTATTTTTTTTCAAGAATTATTGAGTTTAAATAACTTTTTGAAGCCGTCAAAGTAAGCGACAAGATTCTGCTCCCTGGCACATACACATAGAAGGAAAACTTTCCGCATTGTTTTGAATCGTAAGTTGGTTGTGCAAGAAGGCAACCATCGTCTATATAATATAAAGCCCTAAAGTGCAAAATTTGTTGGGCTAACCCAGGGACTGAAAATAGAATTTTAGAATGCGTTTCACAGAACATGCAAACTTTCCTTAAAGATAGACAAACTTCTATTGTGGGTAATTGACGCAATTATCAGAGCTCAACAACAATTATATCCGGTGCTTTTTTCATTTTTAAAGGTGTTGAAAATTAAACTTGTATCATAGTTTGGGTACCTTTCAGTTGAAAATGTGTCA